CACACACACACACACACACACACACACACACACACACACACACACACGGTGTCTAGGCCTACACCGAGGTCTAACAAGGTCACATCATTTCCTCCCATTATTCTGTCCATGTGTATGTCTGGAGAACAATGCTGGCTTCTGCCTTCACAAAGCCTTTTCATATTATGTCACTTTTTTTATGCGTTTCAAAAATAATACCTGTATTTTTTAACATGACTGTACCAGTCCAAACTATTCTTATTTACCATGAACTTTATAAAAACACTAACAAAACATCACAGAAAAATGGACACGCTACTTTGTAGTGAACACGCTCCTCCCCCGTGGGTTTGGGTCCTCACCAGCAATGGGTCGAGGGTCTGGGATTCACCACCATCACCCAATTATCTCAGCAGGGACGGAAGAGAACGGGAGGAACAGACCCCGTGGGTTCTGGACCCACTCCTGCTAGATACGCCGTGGTGCTTCCTGGTGGTACCGCTGCTGGCGTCATCTAACTCGTATAAATGCATTAAAACACATTATAATTATTATGAATATTATTATTCATAATAATGATGTCATCTCTCTGCATTGTTTATATTGTTATTGCTTTTACTGTTTGTGTTTTTAGCTTTTTATCATGTAAAGTGCCTTTGACAACCTTTTTAAAGCGCTATACAAATAAAATGTATTTATATTATTATTATTAGTAGTAGTATAGTAAAACATATTATTAATGTTGTTATTATTGTTATTAATGTTAATATGAGTAGTAGTATTATTTATATTAGTTTTCATAGTAAAATGTAAATATCTATTATCTATTAGTCCTGATGGCTCAAATTCATCATTTTGGAATGTGTGATGCTCAGGAAATTGTCCCCAGTCTCATCACGGTCGTTAACGCCGGAGCCCCTGTGGTTCACTTCGGTCCCACTAGGCCACGCCACATCGCTGTCCACGCACGAGGAGCGCGGGAGGCGGCGTACAGTGTGTGTGTGTGTGTGTGGGGGGTGGGGGGGGAGTGGTGCCCGGGAGGGCGGAGTTCAGGGCAAAACAGCCGTCTCGACAAAAAAATGTGTGGACATTGTGGCTCCGCCCTCCGCCTGCAGCCGAGACCAGGGCGGCCGAATGAAAGCTCATCAACTCCCCGAAGCATATCATCCATACCTGAAGGAGAAAGAGAAACGCAGCACACCAATAACTAATACTATACTTATTGTGGTCGCTCCTCGGATGGGGTTTTCGTTGCACTGGATATCTGTTGCATGGAGTTTCGAATTTTGAAGCCACTTTTTTTTTTGTTCAAGCTCAACGTACGCTACTTTATTTCTTGCTCCGGATTTAAACCGTTAAGACGCGTCTAAATACAGTGTGAACGTGTAGTTCAAGGAGGACCAGATAACCTCGGTGGCGAGTTTTCTTGTCGTTTTCCAACCTGGAATCATGGACTCTTCTAGAGTTTTGAGCTGCAGTATGGAGCCCTCGAAGTGCATGGCCATGTAGCCCAAAGGTACCGACGTTCCTCTCGCATTGTATTTTAATGTATGTTATGTTATGTTACATTGTGACGCAGTCTGTCCATACTGGGATACATTGTAGGCTAACAGTGTAGCTAGTGCAGCTTAAGTTACTATATTCTCCTTCCAGAGCGTGTTAAAAAATAAAAAGAGATGGATAGATATGACGCAAAAGACCCGAATTTTCAATCCCTAAAACACTGGGAGTTCCACTCAGCTTCAGTGACCCGCTGCTGGCTCTGTCGTCCGTGAGCACTGATTTGAAATGAATATTTACGTTACAGCTTGAAAACCCTCCGGTTATTTGACGTTATCCGTTCCGTCAGCCTGTAATACAGCCAGGGTACTTTCTTCACCGGGACCGCAGCTGTGTTTACTCTCGAGTAGTGCTGTGATTGACTCGACAGGCAAAACCCACTGTTTGTAAAAGCACCAAACAGTTATTATTGGATTTGCATATCTAAACATAACATTGCAGAAAACTTGTAATACAAAAGTCATTCTCTTAATGTTAATCCTAACTGGGCAAGTTTCATGGTGATATCTAGTAGTTATTTTACCTTATTCACCTGTCGTGTCTTCAGAATGTATGTATGTTTACAATTAAGTCATTTAATGAGTTCCTTTTCGCTTTCCTGTTTCATTCCTATCTATTTTCTGAAGTTTTTTTTTACAGAGGGGTTTGTTCATATATCATTCATTCATACATTTTATTCCTAAATACAGATAACGTTTTTTATTGTTGTTGGCAGTGTTTTCTATTTTTTTGTGAAGCGAAGAGATATCAATAATTCTCTCTATTAAAAAAACGTTGACTCTTATATGTCAAGAAAATTAAACAGGGATTTTGAACCTAGCTTTATCCAATGTTCAGATTGCAGATAAGCACATATTTGATAAGACTATGTTTAAATTGCATATTTAAACACACTTTTTTAGAAACTTGTAATGCAAAAAGTATTTTTTTAATATAAGCAATCAACTGAGGAAGTTTGCTGGTGATATCTATAAGTACTTTTTTATTTGTTGCTCTATTCACCTGTAGTGTCTGCCCTTAAAGATCGAAAACTCATTTAATTTTTTGCTCCCTCCCCGACACCATTTGTTTTTCTGTCATGATCCAGATTAGGGAGGCGACTTGCTCTTAGATCGGTGTAACTGCTGCATTCCTGCAGCCGAGGAAATCTCCGCTCTCTGCGACTCCATTCAGTGTTTTCCTGGAGCTCTTTTGGCTGCGGCTTCACCATGACTTCACTATGAAATAATGTGAAATCGCTTTTACATCCAGAGGCTGCCATCCAGGCTGCGCTGATCATTCCCAGCCTGCCACCTTCAGGAACCAGGCCGACTGTAGTTCAACAGAAGTTCTGGATATACAGTATGCCACACGTTTGTGGAATGAGCGTGTCTCTCAGGTCTCTGTCAGCATTCTGGGTGAATCATAGGCTCCACTAGGATATGAAAAAAATTAATTTATATATTTTACAGACTGATTTAACACTATAGATTAAAAGGAACGCGGTGGCAACAGTCTACTTCCAGGGAAAAAGTATTATAATAGTATAATTGTATTGTTCTCATTCCGTGTTCACACCAAACGCAGCGCAAATTATTGTCGCTAGTAAAGTCTATGCACTGACGCGATGAGATTTGAGTGACGCGTATTCGCGATGGAGCGAGTTGAAATTTTTCAGCACCTCCTGTCATCACTGATGTCCCACCGTTGAATCAGGAAAGAATACTGTAGCCGCCTGTGTTCCCCCAGAGCTCTACGATACCTCAAATTAGTAGAGA